GGACAAGCCCCTACATGGGATGTACCATCGCTGATATCAGGAAATCCTACCAATGGCTGGAAAAAGCTGGACTCAATGACAGCACAGAGGCACTTATCCTAGCTGCACAGGAACAGGCCCTAAACACCAGAGCAATAGAGGCTCAGATCTACCACACCAGACAAGACCCAAGGTGTAGGTTGTGCAAGGAGGCCCCTGAGACAGACCAGCACATAACAGACACACATTATATAACATAACACATTATTTTGTATTAGTTTTTCAGCATTTATTATTTTCTGTTTGCAAATGCAGCGGCTGGAAACCTATTTTGAGTTGGTCAAACATGGACCGGATGTGCGCTTTTATTGTGAAAGCAGCACGTAAATGGGTTTACCATAATGTCTTGAGCTACCGCGCAATTGTGTGCTGGGCCGGCCAAGTACACTTCGCTGCAGGATGCAGAACGGGGCGGTGACGGACCTTTCCGTCAGTCCCATACCTTATATGGAAATGGGACTATTGCCGGCTGGAGTCAGAGCCGGCTAGCTTTACCGCAGTTGCACGCCGTAGCGGTCAAATTATCGTACATTATGGGATTTTTGGGATTGATCGTACGTCGTACAGAGGGCAAAATTATCGTATAAATACGATAATTATCGTACACCTGGCAACACTAACCTGCAGTGACAGTCCGGCTTCTCTGACCTTTTCTTTTTCCGCTTTCTGCTGTTTTCTTTCTCTTTTTTTTTCTTTTTTTTTCAGCTGTCCGCTTCCGGTTTCATTGTTCCCCCCTGCTGTCAATCCAGGGTCACTGCAGCGCTAACAAAATCTAAATTTAAGCTTTTATTCTTTAATATGTTTTACTCTAGTCACCTGAAGTTTTAATTGAAATGTATTTAAACTTAAAAAAAAATTAAATAAAAAACACTCCCCACACGCCTCATATTATAGATCACGGGTCTCCTCCTCACCAGCAGGCAGCGCTAAAGCAGAATTATACAGAGCCTAAAACAGACTCCAACTCCCAGCAGGCATTGCGCCAGTTCACATGTGAGGTTCGGTTGCTCATCAGAATCATGGCTGTGTTTATGGACCTGAACTTGGTGTTTTCTGCGGACAGAAGTCATCTGCAGAGCATGATAGAGACGGCCGCTCATCGTGAGTCTTCTCCACCCTAAATCAGCACTTTTACAGCTGAAGTTCTGCTCGTGTTCGCCCCGCAGCGTTAACACCACTGGTTCTGCTTCAGCTGCTGGGGTCTGTGAATCTCATTATGTGTTGCTGATCAGTTTGGACTACCAGGTACTGATCAAACTCACTGATAGATTAGATTACTGTGGGTTTGCTCAGCTGTACAGTTAAGATCAACCGTCAAGACACAGCACACCAGACTCCGTTTAAAAATAATCACATTTAAAGTTTCTGTGTTTTATCGTTACACTACGCAGTATAAAACTGTATTTTACTATTGAATTAATATTTGTAGAACAATCGGCCACAAAACAGTTGCTGTATATTGTTTCCTCTTTGTTCTTTTATAATAAAAACACGTTTATGTAAATAGTTAATTGAAAATAAGAGGAGAAATCTCTCTAGAGCAATTTTCACAGGAAGTTCTTAAAATTCAAAATCCTGGTTACCTGTAATCCTCCTAACCTGATACTTAGGTTACTTTACCCAGGTAATCTGCTCTGTTTAACCAGGTAACAGTATCTGATTGTGTGTTTGTTCCTCCTGCAGTTGGATTCTCCACTGTTGCCGTCAACTATGTGTTCGAACCATCAACCAAGAAGAAACAGGTGAGCTCGCCGAGCTGCGTTCAGGGACAGGCGGATCATCAGAAACAGTCAAACCTGATTGATCAGCTGATTATTGGTTTTATTTCTAAAAACAAATGTTTTTATTAATTGATGTGATATCTAAAAGAAACGTGTCACATGACTTCTGTGATCAGACAAAATCAATCTAAACTTCAGCTTTTATTTTGAAAGTCTACGTTTACTTCCTGTTCTCAGGAAATTCCCTCGCCGGTGCCAATCAGTGAACTGATTGGTCAGCTGCCTGTGGTGCAGGGTCGCTCTCGTCCAATCAGGGTGCTGAACAGGCTGACGGTGGTGATCTCAGACGTCAGTCACTTTGTGAGTTGTCCAATTAGAGCGAGAAGATTAACGAGCGGAAAATGTCACACAATGATGATGTCATAGAGAGTGTGTGTGTGTGTCCTCCCAGAGACCCACCGCTCCAGAATATCGGTGCTTCGACCTCCTCGCCGTCCAGCCGACCACAGAGAAACTCTTTCATGTGAGCTTCACGCTGCAGCTGGATGATGTGTTCACTGGCCTCGGGAATTTTCAGTTTTATCACAAACCACAGATTTAAACACACAAAGAATCATGTTGTACAGCAGCCCTGAAGGACCACACAGGTTTTACATTTTGTGTGTGTGTGTGTGTGTGTGTGTGTGAGAATGTGTAAACTGAATATAGCTGGATACA